CAGAGAGAGAGAGAGAGAGAGAGAGAGAGAGAGAGAGAGAGAGAGAGAGAGGAGGAGGACCGGTTGGCCAATCGTGATGGGCTAGCTACCTTGTTTCTCTATCGTACGAGGTAATCGTACGTATCGTTCTCGATCGTGTATGCCGATTATGTCCAACGACCGATAAGATTCCTTCTTTCCCTGGACTCGCTATTTCCAGCCTCCCTTTGTGCCGCGATTCCGATGGACGCGACCGACCGCTCATCCTGATTTATTCGATATATTCACACCGATACGCACCGTGAGCCGTAACCTAAGCGTGACAACGATCGACACGGCTCGTTACAAGCGATTACAGGCGAACCGGTGCGTCAGTCTTTTATAATTACCTTTATTTTTGCCCAGCCTCCTAGATTTTCGAAGTTTATTTGCGCGAATCAAATGCGCGAACGTTCATTATAAATATATATCATATCCGATAAATGCGTTCTTTTTCCTTTTTTTCTTTTTTTTTTTCGCTTAGCACTTTTGTCCAGTCTTGCGTGTTACGCGTTCTCGTTGTGAATCCTAGAAGGTATCGTGCAAGAAATATGCTGTCGTTTTTCTTTTTTAGTAATTTGTGTATAAGAAAATAAGATTTTGTAAAGAAAAATTTGGTGTTAATTTTGTTAATTCGGAGGAGAACGAAGTGAATTGTTTCATTCAGTACTTGTGTTTCTAGAGTGAATAATTTTGGTAATATATTATTAGTGTATTAGAATTTCTATAATAAAATTATAGAAATAGGTATGTTAATTAATAATTGATATAATTTCAAGAAAATAGTGATAACAAAAAAAAGTAACATTTTTTTTTTTTCAGTTTTTTTATGAAAAAGGTGGAGTAAAATTATTATAAATACAAATCGGATTAATATGACTTTTCTTTTCATATGATTAATCATGAGAAATTTGCAAAATTTATATTGTTTAATACAATGGTAAATATTTTTATTTTATTTTCTCATTAACTATTATATCGTTTTATATAAACGTTGTAGTTAAATAGAAATTCAGAAAGATGATATTCTATTCGAGATGGTGTGAAGTTAAAGTAAATGTTTCGAAGCTACTTATAGAAATATTTTGATATTGTTACAATAGTTTATAGAATTACGTATTAAATCTGACATTTTGCACCTATTATATCTTGAGCAATAATGTTAAATACGTTTAAAATGATAACTTTGGAAATATATACAGAAATAAAAGAAAATAAGAAGAAATTGATTTAAAATTATTTTATTTTTGAGTTAAAATTATTTTATTTGAATAATTTTAATTTATAATTTCTTTGTTCGTTAAAAAATGAATTTTACTTGAAAATGTGCAGATGAATATTTATAACATTTTCAAATATATTAATATTGTTAAAAAAATTTACAAGAAAATTATTATTATTGATATGTTATTATATTAGAGATAAAATATTTTTTTCTTTGCATATTTCGTTGAATTAAATGAACTTTCAAAACAAATGTCATAGATATCGTAGCGGAAATAGATCGAACCATTTCATAAATAGTTAACGGCGTTCAATCCACAGGAAGCTCTGAGGAAAGCGCATTCGTTAGCGGTTAAAATGTAATGATTTCGTTAGTGATATTAGATGTAGTTGTAAATTGGATGAAATATTAAGCAATTTTGCGTGATAAATTTATACAAATTAATTTTTAAACTTTTAAATTAATTTTTATCAATAAAATTCTTTGAAAAAAGATAAAAATATAAATAATATTAAATTTCATGAAATTTTATTAATATACACATTAATAAATAATTTTTACAGAAATATAATTATCATAAAGATTTTAGATTTATTTATTAAATAATAATTAACAATGAAAATATTAGTATAAATTTGAGACAGATTTGATCTAATCATTAGATATATTAACTGTACATTAAATTCATATGTGTAAATGTAATAACTTTTAAGTAAGTTATTAGTTTCTCAACCTTGAAAGTTCTATAATTTTATATTATAACGAGAATTTATAATATGTCTGAAGTTAAAATTCATATTATATTATGAAAATTTAATTCATTTTCAATTCAATTTCAAATAAGATGAAATAAAATTTATCTATAGAATTTTTATCATTTATACCAGCAAAATTATTATTATTATTTATACTAGCAATTTAACAAAATTAATATTTCAATGAATGTTATTATCTACAATTAGATTTTATGTAGTCAGATAAGTGGATAATAAGATAATTAAAAAAATTTCACGTGTGTATCATTTTTCGAGAATATTTATTGAATGCTCGCATGGTTTACGGTTTAAAATTACCACTTTGATAATATCTTCGCTTTATACACGGTCTGATGTTCATTTTCATCCCATTTGGTTCAAAATATACGATGTGCGCCAATAGTAGAATTTTATTCAATAGTAACACGTAAAATATTTTAGCATGAAATGATAATCCATCCAATTAGAATGATAATAACGTTGTAGTGAAACGAGATTGATGCACGTTTGCAGCCAATTTACAGTTAATGCATTTGTGTAATATAATCAATTTGTAAATTTCATTGTGCCTATATAATAGAGATTCTCAACGATATAGTAATACGTTACTAAGTAGTAAACGCACAAAATTACACGGACATTGAAACGGACTTTACAATTAAAATCTATTTATACATATATACACATGTGTTAATTCTTTTATTACTAACGTTTCAATTGCTAAGAAATTATTTAAAATTATTAACAAATTTTTATTAACAAAATTCTCACAGAATTCTTAACGGAATATTCAATAGGAAAAATGATTTTCGAAATTGATTCGAAGAAATAAATAAAGATAAAATTCTGATGGAATTTTATATTCTCTATCTGCTTACTTATTCTAATTTTCACATTCGTTCCTTTCATTCATTTTCCATTCATTTATAACTAATTGTAAGGTTGATTAATTTTGAACCGCAGTAATTTCGCCCCGCGCGTTTGATTTTCATCTCGATCGA